GTAGTAGTAGTAGTAGTAGTGTAGTAGTAGTAGTAGTAGTAGTAGTAGTAGTAGTAAGTAGTAGTAGTAGTCGTAGTAGTAGTAGTAGTCGTAGTAGTCGTCGTAGTCGTAGTAGTCGTAGTAGTAGTAGTAGTAGTAGTAGTAGTAGTAGTAGTAGTAGTAGTAGTAGTAGTAGTAGTAGTAGTAGTAGTAGTAGTAGTAGTAGTCGTCGTAGTAGTAGTAGTAGTAGTAGTAGTAGTAGTAGTAGTAGTAGTAGTAGTAGTAGTAGTAGTAGTAGTAGTAGTAGCGTCGTAGTCGTCGTCGTAGTCGTAGTAGTCGTAGTAGCAATGATACGGTAGTAATAATAGCAGTAGCAGTAGCAGTAGTAGTAGTAGTGGCAGTAGTATTGGTAGTAATAGTAGTAGTAGTAGTAGTAGTAGTAGTAGTAGTAGTAGTAGTAGTAGTAGTAGTAGTATAGTAGTAGTAGTAGTAGTAGTAGTAGTAGTCGTAGTACTAGTAGTAGTAGTAAGTAGTAGTAGTAGTAGTAGTAGTAGTAGTAAGTAGTAGTAGTCGGAAGAGTCGTAGTAGTAGTAGTCGTAGTAGTAGTAGTAGTAGTAGTAGTAGTAGTAGTCGTCGGAGTAGTAGTAGAAATAGTAGCAGTAGTAGTAGTAGTAGCAGCAGTAGTAGTATAGTAGTAGTAGTAGTAGTAGTAGTAGTCGTAGTAGTAGTAGTAGTCGTAGTAGTAGTAGTAGTAGTAGTAGTAGTAGTAGTAGTAGTAGTAGTAGTAGTAGTAGTAGTAGTAGTAGTAGTAGTAGTAGTAGTAGTAGTAGTAGTAGTAGTGGTAGTAGTAGCAGTAGTAGTGGTAGTAGTTGTAGTAGTTGTAGTAGTAGTAGTAGTAGTAGTAGTAGTAGTAGTAGTAGTAGTAGTAGTAGTAGTAGTCGTAGTCGTAGTAACAGTACTAGTAGTAACTATGAGCACCCCTGCCATCATATTAATATGTGGGGGTCCTCGGTCGAGTAATATATTTTGGTATTCAATCTTGAAACGTGGATTTCGGCATGCACGCGCGACGACTGGAGCGTGCGCGCGTCGGCGAATTTTTCGCTAGAGACTCCTGGGAACTACTGATGTATGATAAACGGGTGCGCGCGCATAGCATTTGTTGCAAAGGATGGCGGTTGGGGCCGATACCATTGGGCTGGGATGGTGCGGCTTCATATTTCGGATGCACGCTGGGGCAGAAACGTGTGTGGATTGAAAAACGTCAAGGGGATGGGATAATCCCTGGGGGGGGTAGAATCTATATTGTTTTTTTAGTCCGGGTAATAAATGTGGCGCGAAGCATGTGGTGAAATTCGCCAATGCTCAACTTGAGGTTGCCCACTCCACTTTTCGCGCAAACATCCCACCCACCAACCCGCAAGTTGGTTTGCAGACCCCATGCGGAAGCGATTGCGATGAATGGTGGGTGTTAGCTGGTGCATCTCTGCGGCCGCGCTAGCCCGCGCATGGTCGCGCGCGCAGCGGCCAGCTAGTTTGGCGCGACCGACGCGGCCGCGGTGGCGCTGACCGCTGAGCACATGCCAGCGAACACTTCAGTGCGAGTCGGCGAGTTAGGCGGGCGCGGTATCATGGCACCGCCGACAACGGTAGATACGATGATGATTGTGACGATGCTGGAACGACGAAGGCGCGGCCAATGCGGGCGCCGATGCTGATCACGCCGACGACGATGACGGCGTCTTCGCGTCGGTGATGAAGGTTTTGGAAAGAGTTCGACATGCGCGCGCGGCCGACGCGCGACACTGCCCCGCATAGTGCTATTTGACACGGGTCGTGCCCCCCCAACACGCGCGCAAGGGCGTGCGAATGATGCCGGCATGCGGCGCCAGAGGCCCATTTGGCTGAATTCCATGACCACGTTGAGCAACTAAGGGACTTCTTACGAATTCGCAAAAGCGCGAGCATGCGTTTTGTTGAAAACTCACGTTGCGAAACCATGTGTTTGTATATGTGTGTGTTGGACACTCGGTTGTGAAACTGTTACGAAACCTATTGTGTTCAAAGCTTGCGGCGTGCGCGCACGACGACGCGCGCGTGCGCACTTCGTCCCATCCATTGCAACGCATTTTCGCGACGGCACGCGCGCAAAAGGCGTTCGAACGATTTCGATATACGCGCGCGCGAAACCTGTTAGCAATTTCTGAAAATGTTCAAACACCTATGGTTGACTTGAGAATTCGTAAGATCGCGCGCAAGTTGCTTTGAAAATCGATGTTGCGAAACACTTTGTTCTTATATGTTGTTTGGACAGTCGATTTTGCAAATCGCCACGAAACCACAGGGTGTTGGAAGGATTTCGGCATGCGCGAGCGACGGCGCGCGTCGTCCCAATAATCCCGGTGGGGGATATAGCCTATTCCCATCTTCGAAATGAGAGTCCATTTCCGTTCGCGGGAAGTTGTCCTCTCCACTGCTCGCGCATTCATTCCACCCACCAACCCGCAACTTGGTTTTCAAAACCCATGCGGCGGCGATTGCGCTGAGTACTCGGCATTGGCTGGTGCATCTGTGCGGCCGCGCTAGCCCGCGCATGCTCGCGCGCGCAACGGCCAGCTAGACTCGCGATTGGACGGACAAACTTGTGGATGATCTGGGCAAGTTCCGACTGAGTCCGCTCGATCATCCCCCTGAGCGGCGGCGCGGTCGCTGATTCAGGCGGGAGTAGTGGGTCTGCCGAAGATGGGTCCGCGGGGAAAGGTGCAATTGCACTTTCAATAGCTCGTGCCTGGATGCAGTATCGTCTGCGCGATGAAGGCAACGCGTGGTGTAGCTTTGTCCACTCGCGATAGTTGTCGCCTATGCAGCAGGTCGCGCCCTCCCACAATATCTGAGCACTGTTGCACGCAATGTGGCACGATTGATGAACGACTGCACCACTCGCCGGCGACCCATCTGTGCCAGGCCAGACCCACTACTCCAACTTAGAGCTCAATTCGGCGGCGCAGGTGAGGCCTGGTACGGCAGGCTCGTGCCGTACCGACCCCAGCGCTGGTGTCTGAAACCGAGCGGATCGTTCAACTTTCAATGATCAGAGAGGACAAACAACTCAATCCGATAGTGAGGAGGAATGGGGAAGGGCAAGGCGAGAAAGACGCTGCAGGTCTGGGCGCAAACTGTCGGATCCCGGGCGGGGGGCTCCCATTCCAATTGAACCCCATTCGACAACACACACCCGTAGCCAGCCCCTGGAATTCCACCCCGAGAAAACTTGGTGGGAACCTGGGGGGGGGGCCTAGGTATGGGTGCTAATTGTTAGCTCATTACTAAACAACATTCGTTTTTTTCAATCGCCATGTCATTCCAGATTGGCGGAATCTGAGCCACTGGCGGAGCTCAACATTGAACTCGGCGGGGTCGCTGCCGCGTCGACACGAAAATATCCATCGTAGAGGGCAGGAGAGCCACCCTCACAAAAAGCGCCCCATAGAAGCGAAACCCTTTCGTAAAAGCACCCAAGGAAGGAATCGAACAGGGGCATAGCTGTTCAATAGACGCCCCTGGCTGTTTAGCGATCGCCAGTCATGCTGGGTCGGGATCGGTCTACAGTCAAGACGCTGAAACAAGGAACATGTCAGCTTCAGAAGGGACTCTCTGCTCCTCAAGTCCTGCCATAGTTGTTACTCTAGCGCCCATCGTGCACCCGTGCGCTTCTGGGAGCCAACACAGGGGCCATCATTCCTGATGAGGCGCTCCTTATGGCAAGAATTCGACCGCTGTAGGGAGACCCGGGTGCCAGTGCTTGGCCGCCCCCCTGTGGGAAGCCCCCCTGACAAGGATTCAGGGTTTCAGGGAGGGGTCTGGGATGACCCCACCGTCCGCCAGGACCCATGGAAGGTTGGGATTTTTTTGGGGGGGGGTCCGGCAGCGCTGTGTTTTTCAACTCTGCCCGTCGAAAAACTCCACCCCACTACCCAGGGGGGTTCACCCCCGGACCCCCCCCCTTGCAGAGGGTCCTTTCGTGACCCCCCACCCAGGCCCCCTCTGACAAAAGAGGGCACCCCCCTGGGATCCCCCCCCGGGCAGAGAGCTTATCTTGGACCACCCACCATGCACCCTTCAGCCATGGGTGGTGCCCCCCCCCCCCCCCTTGGGACACCCATCTAAAGCACTCTGCGGGGCGGGGGGTAATTGGGCAACTCACCAACAAAAACCCTAGCCCCCCAGAGAAACCCAGTGGACACTGTCCACTCACGTCATATCCATCAATGGCCAAGAATGCGGAAAACGGATTGCTGTACCTTCTCTCCTCTCACTCCTCCTCCTCCTCCTCGTCCTCCTGCTTCTCCTCCTCCTCCTCCTCAACCTCCACCTCCTCCTGCTCGTCGTCCTCCTCCTCCTCCTCCTCCTCCTCCTGATCCTCCTCCTCCTCTTCCTCTCCTCCTCCTCCTCCCCTCCGATCCCCCCCTCCGATCACCCCCTCCCACCGCATCCCCGCGTTCCACCTCCTACTCGTTCTCCCCCCCCCCTCCCCCAACCACCTCCCCATCGTACCGGCCATTCCTCCCCTTTTTCGTCCTGCATCACCTCATGCGTCCCGCCCACCTCATCACTACTCCTGCATCTTCTCCTTGTTCCCCCTACTCTCCTCCTCCTCCTCCTCCTTCTCCTCCTCCCCCTCCTGCGCTTACTCCTTCTCCTCCCCCCTTTCCCGTTGCCCCCGTCCCCTGCTCTCTCCCCATTTCCACCTCACCATCTCCAATTGTTTCTCCAATTGTTTTGCCCCCATGCTTCCTCCCCTCCTGCGCCGAGCCTTCCTCCTCCTCCTCCTCCTCCTCCTCCTCCTCCTCCTCCTCCTCCTCCTCAGGTCGTCGGGTGATCAAGATCAGAGGAATGCATGGCGGTGGCGTGCGAATGGATGCAGAGGCGGCCCCCTCGTGAACCTCGAGCGTCCGTGCCTCGCACCCCGGCCCGCCCGCCACCCCCGCCACCTGGCCCCCCCGAGGATGCACCCTGGCAGCCTGCGCCGCGGAGCCGTAGACAGATGCGTAGGCCGCCCTGGAGGAGCGGAGAGGGGGCGGTCGGACGGAAAGCGCGGGGAGGAGCGGGTCGTGGGAGGTGCAAGAGCGCGTGCATTCATTCGCGGCGATAACGGGCGTTATGGGTGGAGGGCGGGGGGGCATAACGTAACGCCCCCCCCCTCCCGCCGTTTAGTTCCGGCACCACCGCGCGCGCACGACTACGACGAGGACGATGACGACGACGGAGACGACGACGACGACGACGACCACGACGACGAGCGACGAACGACGAGCGACAAGGACACGGACGAGGACGACGGAGACAACGAGCGACCACGACGACGGCGAGCGACCTTGACGACGACGACGAGCGACGCCTGGATGTCTGGCAGAGGTCTCCGTACACCTTCAGGGGCCTCCAGAAACTCTTCGAAGACTTCCTGAGGCCCCCGAAGGTCTTCGAAGGTGTTCGACGATGAGCAGCGACGACGAGCGACGACGACGACGACGACAACGACGACGACGACGACGCCGACGACGACGGACGCGACGGACGACGTCGACGACGACGATAACGACGACGACGACGAGCGACGAACGACGACGACGTCGACGACGACGATGACGACGACGACGACGAGCGACGAACGACAACGAAAACAACGACGACGACGACGACGACGAGGACGACGACGACGACGAGCGACCACGACGAGGACGAATGACGACAACGACGACGGCGACGACGACGAGCAACGCCCCGACGCCTCTGGAGGTCTCTGGAGCCCTCCAGAGGTCCTCCGAAAGCCTCCTGAGGCCCTGAAAAGGCCTTCGAAGGCATTTGACGACGACGAGCGACGGCGAGCGACAACGAGCGACGACAACGACGACGACGAAAAACGACGAGGGCGAAAAGGAGATCTGGCGAGCACATGACTACGAAGGCGTCGTTGCCTCTACGTGGCGTATAAACGGTATGCACCTTACTTCCCTCCTCCTTCCTCGTCCTCGTCGACGTCCGTCTACTTCCCTTGCTCCTTCCCCTACGAGCATCACAAGTGCCTGAAAGCACCGCTACTTGTCCGCGACCACCGAATGGCGAGGGAAGCGAAACCGCAGCAATTGTGCAATAGCCTGCGGGCACAACGCGCATGCACAGGAGGATGCTGGACCCTGTCGGGACCACAATGGCCCGTGAGAGGTGCGACATGCCAGTGCCACAGTCGCCTGTGGGTACCACAGTACCCTGCGAGCGCGGGGCACGGCTGCGAGCACCAAAACAACCGACGCATGCCTGCACTGCGCCACAACAGCGCGCGAGCGCCGCAGTCACAAATAGCCTGCGAGCGCCGCAGTAGCCGGAAGGGAGGCGCACTCGCCACGACCGCACCTTGCTGCGAGAACTTCTCTGAAGGCCGGAGGCCGTCCGAGCCTTCCGAGAAGGCTCGCCCACTCCGCACTCCCACCTGGGCTCGCCGCCGATCTGGCCTTTTACCGTCTTCATGCGTTCGCGCCTTCTGCCCCACTGCATGTTTGCTGACTCACGTTCCTGCCGCGGGCCCTCGAGGAAGGAGATCGGAGGCCACAGGGGGGGGAACGTGTGAAAGGGCAGCAGGAAAACACAACTATGTGAATTAACCACTTGAGGCTAGATAACAAAACGACAGTCACATCAATATTAGTCCCCAGCCAACCTGTGTTGTTGGGTCCTCGTTTTGAAGACACGGTCCCCGCGTCTCCTCCTCCTCTTCCTCTTCTTCCCTCCTCCCTCCCTCTCATCATCATTATCATCATCATCATCGTCATCATCATCAACATCACCATCATCACCCCCCGGTGCAGCACTTCGTGGCCCCACGGGGAACGCCACCGAAGGTACCCGTGGTGCAGTCCGCATGCGTCTCCCCCACCCAGTACAACGCTTCGTGGCCCCATGGAGGCTCCACCAAAGGTCCCCGTGGCGCAGTCCGCACGCGGTCCCCCAACCCAGTACAGCGTTTCGTGGTCCCATAGGGAGTTCCACCGAAGGTCCCCGTGGCGCAGTCCGCATGCGTCTCCCTTACCCAGTACAGGGCTTCGTGGCCCCATAGGGGCTCCACCGAAGGTCCCCGTGGCGCAATCCGCATGCGCCCCCCCCACCCTGGGCAGCGCTTCGTGGCCCCACGGGGAGCGCCGCCGAAGGTCCCCGTGGCGCACTCCGCATGCGTCTCCCCCGCCCAGTACAGCGAGTCGTGGCCCCATAGGGACCTCCACCGAAGGTCCCCGTGGCGCAGTGCGCATGCGGTCCCCCCACCCATTACAACGTTTCGTGGCCCCATAGGGAGCTCCACCGAAGGTCCCCGTGGCGCAGTCCGCATGCGTCTCCCCCACCCAATACAGCGCTTCGTGGCCCCATAGGGAGCTCCACCGAAGGCTCCCGTGGTGCAGTCCGCATGCGTCTCTCCCACCTAGTACGGCGTGTCGTGGCCCCATAGGGAGCTCCATCGAAGGTCCCCGTGGCGCAGTCCGCACGCGTTTCCCTTACCCAGTACAGCGCTTCGTGGCCCCATAAGGAGCTCCACCGAAGGTCCCCGCGGCGCAGTCCGCATGCGCCCGCCCCCACCCCACCTAGTACAGCGCTTCGTGGCCCCATAGGGCCTCCACCGAAGGCCCCCGCGGCGCAGTCCGCACGCGTCTCCCTCGCCCAGTACAGCGCTTCGTGGCCTCATAGGGAGTTCCACCGAAGGTCCCCGTGGCGCAGTCCGCATGCGTCTCCCTCGCCCAGCTTCGTGGCCCCATAGGGAGCTCCACCGAAGGTCTCCGTGGCGCAGTCCGCATGCGTCTCCCCCACCCAGTACATCTCCGTCGGAGGCCGTCGGAGTTCCGCGCCTCGCTCGCCCGTCGTCGCTCTGCCCAGCGGCAAGAGCCTTGCCCGCTGTCAGCCAGCCAGCTAGCTCTCTTTGCTCCGCGCAGCGGACGACCCGCGCGCGTCGCGGGGACCCCTCCGGGGCGACCTGCGCGCGTCGCGGGGACTCCGCGCTGCGCTGCGCCCGCAGCCTTGGACTTTTGAGTGCGCGGGCAAAGAGGGAGTAAACAAAGGGGAGGAAGCGGGCGCGATCCTCGCGGGGGGGCGCGCCGACATTGGCGTCGCGGCGCGCGGGCGATGCCGTCGGGGAGTCCCGGGGGAGCCCCTTGCGGCGGCCACGCCCAGCGTCACGAGTACTCAGAGGCAGTCATTCTCAAACTATTGACATTCATATACAATGACACCGTGCTTTGTCATACTCGCATTCATGCACGTAGACTCGCTCGCACGCAGATGCATCCACAAGCAGACGCACTCGCGCTCATATTCGCCCGCGCTCACTCTCCCTACGTACTCAAATCAATCGTTTTCGTTCGCGTTGTGTACCACGCCACTCAGTTCGGCACACCCCTAGCACGGTTCGTTGCCTCATAATGATCACCACCAACAAATTTATCACAATTGCGGTACTCACACCTGCATATGGTTGGGTCCTTCGTCAGGCTAAATGTTTCCTGCCTGCGGCTGTGAATTTACACGTTTTTGTTTAAGCCGTCACTGGTTTCTTCTACGCTGGTCCTCACTGCTGCTGGCAAGGCGCTGGGAGCGAACCCTCGGATTGGGTCGAATTGTCCTCGACCAGGCCTGCACGACTAGAAAGCTGGGATATGCCACTGTGCGGAAGAACTGTTCAAAAATAGTGCTGATCAAATCTGAACTGCAGAATGCATCGAACCCTCAGCTGTTTACAAAGGATGAGGGCCCCACATCGCTCGATTCTCGGATGAGGGATGAGGGGGCGGAGGGGGATGGGAAGGGAGGGGTAATTAAGGGAGGGGGTGAATGAGGGGAAAAGATGATGGAAAACTTCGGGCAGAAGTGCTGCGAGAAGGCCCAAAAATGGCACATCGAACAAATATCCATCATACTAATACAATGAACACAAAAATAAGCTCGGAGGTCAGCGCGGCCTTTCGGAGCCTGTGGAGCAACACCATGCAAACGTCGGGCCGCCTCGGATCGCAATCATATCGGAATCGAACTGGATCCAGCAGGCCAAATTCGACATCGAATCGGATCGGTCGAGATGGGCCCTGGGAGGGCAGGATGGAGGAGGGAAGACCTCGCTCTCCTCAGCGAGGGCTTGGCAGGGTCAGGAACAATGCGGGCGAAGACGTAACGGGGGGTATACCGACCCCAGTCCCCGACCGTGGGACTTTCGACTGCGCAAAACGTTTGGCGCCCAACCCGGGGATCTACGATTGAGGAGGCGCGCATCCTCGATACGGGGTGCGTCCAAAGAGCGCCCTTAAAGTGCGGGAAAGATCTGTATATCCATATCGAGTGCATTCTGTAGCGCGAAAAGGCCGAGGCGCAGTGGACATGGATGAAAATAGGTCCTCGACGGGCAAGATTTGATCCAACTCCACTGCGCGTCAGTTTTCTGAGGAAGGGAGCCCGAATCTCGAAGTCGCAGTGGATGTGTGTACAGATCTTGCCTGCACTGGGGTGCATCCCCGAGCTCCCCCTCTCCCCGCACGGCCAGCCCTTCTTCGGGGGAGCCCGGAGATCTTTGGGGGCGAGCACTCGCCGGCGAAGACGTGGTCGAGCTGCCCAGCGGCCTGCGGCGCAGGAGAACGGCCAGCGGCACCGCGGCAGACATCGGGGAAACCAAGCGATACAGATGCCGTTGCTGCGGCGGGTTCGCGCCGTGCCGACTTCGGCGTTGGTCTCTGACACCGCGGGGATCGTTCAACCTCGAACGATCGGCGGTTTCTGGAACGTCAGATCGTTCAAAATCGATCGATTCTGGGTCGCACGCAGCGTTCAACGTTGAACGCCGGCGGCGGGGTCGACACGGACCTCTCCCGGGGTTTGTTTTGGACGCCCGAAGTGGGTACGGACAAAAAAGGTACGATGCACAACAGCACATGTTGTCCCAACCGACAGCGGCCGCTGTTGGGCAGGCAGCCTTCTGAGTCCAGTGGACAACGTCTGCGGCGACACCGACAACGAGCCTTTTTCGAAATGAACAGGACATGCTGTCAGTCTTCGCTTCGTACTCGTGCCTTCCGTATCAATTTCGATCGCACCGATTGGTTCCGATCCGAATTTCGAGGCGAATACAGCCGTGGCGACGAGGGCCTCCGATGAGGCCCAAAACGTCGAAAACGAGGGAAGGGCAGTGGTATCAGTACCTTCTCTGCTCCTGAAGAAAGAAGAGCGCCTGCTGTCGAGCTCGGGGTAGCCCGACGGCGCGGCTGTCACCGCTAGCGGCTCCTGTCGGGCGTTGCTCAATCAGGGGGCGATAAACGGGATAGGGGAGAAGCGTGCCCCTCTCAGAACTCAGGGGGCCCTATTGGGTGGGGCACAAGAGGCGCACCTTTCTTTACCCCATGGATTTGGCGCGCGGTCGCCATTTCCATGGATCGGGGGAGGTGCCCTCCCCAAAATGCGGCCGGTGCCGCCTCGCTCGGCGGCGGAAATCCGCGATTTCCCATGGAAACGGGACCCGTCGCTAATCCACGCCCCCTTGATCCATGCTTTGCGATCGCCTGAAAGAGGTGCACCTTTCTTCACCCCCCTCCCCCAAGATATCGACCCCCCCCTTACGCAACGCCCGATCCTGGTGAAGCCACGGCCCTGCCTGCGACGCTGCGGCGCCTCGGGAACCGCTCGGGCATGGCCACGACGTGGTGGCCACGACGGGCTCGGGGCAGCCCGCCCGCGCGGCTGGCGGCACGCCTGGGAGGTCGCTCTCTGGCAGGCTGGTATGAATCAGGAGCGAAGGATGCACATTTACAGCTCGGACGCACAACAATATGCCAATACGATGTGCCTCTGTTGCAGACGCACGTCCGACCCGAACATATAGCACAACATCTTGTAGTGGATCGTTTCCCGCGCGGTATAGCCAGAAAGCGCCCGCCACGGAACTTATCCTATGAGATGTTTGAGCGTGCGCGTCGCCGTGCATGGACGACGCACATATAATGTGAATATGTTCTGGTGGTGCCGAACAACCGCTGGGCTGAAACAACCGTCCCTGGGCGCCCTCCCAGGGACGACCCCGTTCTCCCAGCGGCGATGGCGTGGACACAGCGCCCGTTTTCGAATGCCACACGCAGGTCATCAACGTTGGGGGGTCGAGGTCTCGAGGTCGATTATGGGGGGGGGCGCCAGGGGCGGCTCCCTCAGCTCACAGGTTGTAGCTGTCTCTTTGTCGCCCATGAGGGAAGAGGGCCGTGGTGAATCGAAGCGCGCGCAACCCATCGGTGCTAACCCAGAACGTGAACGATAATGCAACATCACCTAGCCCCCGAGCGTAAGAGCCCGCTTCCCACTATTCGCGGTCATACCCTTGACCAGCGCCCCTCCCCCCCCCGCGCCCCTGGTCACGTCACGATTCGCGCCAGCGCCGTGTGGGAAGTAGCCATTCTTCAATATTCCTAGACGGCGCTGGCGCGAATCGTGACGTGACTGGCCCCCTCCCCCCTCTCCCCCCCACCCTGGTCGCGCCCTCCCCACCGCCAGGGGATAAAACATAAATCACAAATGAGGAAACGAGAAAGTACCGATACCGCTTGTCCCGGACCTCTCCCGCGGTGCGTTCTGACTCAAATTTGTATGCCAGATGTGGCGACGATAGCCTCCCAGGAGACCCAGAAAGGCGAAGACAACGAGGGAATGGCAGCGGTATCGGTACCTTTCTCTCCTCTGACCAACCAGCACACAAGGTTGGCCAGCCACCGAAAATAAAAAAACGGCTGCGCATTTGGTTCGAGGGGACGAACGACATGCCCATCGGGTGACGGAAGGGGCTATGGGTGCGTATTGTCAGATGAAGGCCCCGCTCGAACGGGAGCCTCTCCTCGGGTCATCAATGCCCATAGCCAGTCCTCCTCTCTCCGACGCACCTACGGGTATGGGTATGTGTGAGTTCGGTTGTCATCGAAAGGACGCACAACCAATATATAGTTGTCTTATGATTCGGCGATGCCCCGGGCTATTCGGTGGGGGGGAGGTGACGGCTGCTAACGTAACCTTTTCGCTTTGAGCAGCCCCACGTATGCCGCTGCCCACACGAAACAATGCTGCCGCCCCCTTCAGACCTGTGCAACCGACAAGGTCAAGTTATCGAGGGGGGGGCGATAAACTAAATTATCACCAGACCCTCAAAAATGTTCTACAACTGTTTGCTGCGCGGGCGCCTGGGACGCCGCACGGGCACCGTCGGAATATCGGATCCGAATCGGATCGACCATATCGAACCGGACCCTACGTCCCATGACATCCGACGGAGCGATTTTGCTCACAATGCCCGTTCCCAGAGGTCTGGACTCCTCCCCAGGGACCAGCTGATCATCCTGCGAATCTTTTCTTGACGGCCCAGGGGCCCTGCGAGGCCGAATATGTGAGAGTATTCATCGGCGCGCGCAGACTTGTTCTGACTTCCGCGCGGATTTCTTGGGTCGGCGCTGTACCTGGCGCTCGGAGCGCACCAGGGGCGAGGCTGGACGTGCCGCCAGCGGGGCCAAGCACAGAACCAAGAAATCCGCGCGGAACTCCGACAATTTATGTTTCTGCACGGCCCAACCCTCCATTCGCGATTTTTTGCCGCGATGCGCAGATGCTCCACCGAACCCGCCGCCGTCGTCGGCCGCGCGGCGGCGAGAGCCCACTGAGGGGCAACGTGGAAGGGGACCGGCTCAGGAGCGAAAACATCGACCAAGACGGGTGCGGGAGGCACGAGCTGCTGATGCCCCCCGCCCTTCGCCCTCGTCGTCTTCTCCTCCGCTTTCGTCCTTGTCGCCGCCGCCCTTATCAGGCCTCTATCGGCGATCAATGGGCAACTGGGGGTCGAGGCATCCCCCGCTGAGCCCATCTCCCCCCCAACGTTGCCCCTGAACGGTCCCCGGCGGCCGAACATCCCCAAAAACCTCCAGAGATCCCGCTCCGAGAAACGAGGAAGGCGTGGGCAGGAGGAGCAGGAGCAGGAGCAGGAGCAGGATCAGGAACAGGAGGAGGAGGAGGAGGAGGAGGAGGAGGAGGAGGAGGAGGAGCAGGAGCAGGAGCAGGAGGAGCAGGAGCAGGAGCAGGAGGAGGAGGAGGCGGAGGAGGAGGCGCTCCCCAGGGCCAAATGATCATCCTGAGCCGTCCTCTGACGGCCGTACGGCCCAGCGAGGGCGCCCAAAGGCCGAAAACCGACAACAAAACGCCGTCCTGTGTTCTTCGCACCTCTGGGGCGGGTGCTCCACGAAGCGCGCCGCCGCCGCCACCGACGACGTCGATATGCCGAGGCCGCCGGCCGCGCGGCGACGAGCATCCGCTGACGGGCAACGTCAGGGGGGGGACAGCCGCAGGCCGGGAAACATCGACCTGCGGTCGTGGATGAGCTCGATCCTCAGGCGGTCGGCGGGTTTCAAACCACGGATCGCTCCCCTACTGGAGCAACAAAAACGGCATCAACACAATCTCTCGAAGCTTCGAGCGGATTTCTTGGATCGTCGTTGGGCCCCCCTGTCTGGAGCGCGGAGCGCGCCCCAGGGGCGGCGCCACAGGCGCCGCCAGGGGGCCCTGGCGCCGATACAAGCAATCCGCGCGGAACTGAAAACAATTGGGTAACAACCCGCAATTACGGATCATAGTGAAGGGGCGGGCACGGGGTCGGTCGCGGGTGGGTCGAGGGCGGGTCGCGGGCGAGGACGACGACAACAACAACAACAACAACAACAACAACAACAACAACAACAACACCAACAACAACAACAACAACAACAACAACAACAACAACAACAACAACAACAACAACAGCAACAGCAACAGCAACAGCAACAGCAACAGCAACAGCAGCAGCAACAATACAAACAACAACGTCAACTGCTTCGGCGACAGCAACAGCACCAACAACAACAACAACTTCAACAATCCGCCGACCCCACAGGCGTGTGAGGGGAAGGGGCAAACTCCGTCCTCTGACTTCCTCTTGGAGACTCTGGGCATCCTGCACCCCATAAAAAACGACGCCGAGACCCCCAATCCCCTCTGACATCCCCACACTCCTGGACCTCCTGTGCGTACTGTTTTAGGAACCCTGCACCCTACAGAAAACGACGCCCGGACCCCCCACCCCCTCTGACACCCCCACCCCCTTGGATCTTCTGTGTGTGTACTGTTTTAAAGACCCTGCACCCTACAAACAACAACGCCAGGACCCCCACACCCCTTCTGACAGCCCCACCCTCCTGGATCTTGTGTGTACTGTTTTAGGAACCCTGCGTTGAAAAATCAAAACCAAACGTCCACCCCATCTGACACCCCCACATTCCTAGACCTTCGGCGTGTACTGTTTTAGGGACCTTGCACCCTGCAGAAAACGACGCCGGGACGCCCCACCCCCTCTGACACCCCTTCTTCACCTTCTGTGCGTACTGTTTAGGAACCCTGCACCCTACAAATAACGACGCCGGGCCCACACACTCCCTCTGACACCCCCACCCTTCTAGACCTTCTGCGTGTAGTGTTGTAGGGACCGTGCACCCTACCAAAAACGACGCTGGGACCCCCCACCCCCTCTGACACACCCACCCTCCTGGATCTTCTGTGCGAAGTGTTTTAGGAACCCTTCACCCTACAAAAAACGACGCCAGGACCCCCCCACCCCCCTGACACCCCCACCCTCCCAGACATTCGGTGTGTACTGTTTTAGTGATCCTGCGTTTTACAAATTACTCCGACGGAAGGACCCCGCATGAAAAGATGTTCAGCTTGCCGTTAGCCTTTTTCCCCACGCCTTGGCAGACACCTTCCTCTCGCCCTCTGCTCTGCCCTCTCCTCCTCCTTCTTCTTCTCCTCCTCCTCCTCCTCCTCCTCCTCCTCCTCCTAATCCTTATATTTCTCCTCCTCCTCCTCCTCGTTCTATGTATCCTCCTCCTTTTATTTATCCTCCTCCTACCCCTCCTTTTCCACCTCCTCATCATCGTCGCCGTCTCCCCATCCATTCCCCGTCGTCATCCTTCCCCTGCTTCTTCTCCGTGTGTTCCCCCTTTCCCCCTGGTCGGGGCAAGCAAATCGATTTCCCCCGGCGCCGTCGCCGCCTCGGCCAGCGCGCGCGCGCGCATTCGCCGACGGCTGGTTCACCGACGACGGCTGATTCGCCACGGGGCCCCCGAACGGCCCCCAGACCCCAAAATCAAAACGCCGACCCGACATCGACGACGACGATGACGACGAGGGAGCTTCCGCCTGAGAATTCCTTACGATTCACTCACAGACGAAGCTCCCGCCTGATACTTCCCCCATGTTCAGGCCTGAAGAGCCCAAAAAATGACGACACTTACAAGATGCCGATGACCCGTCTGGTATTCAAACATGAAGCTCGGTCCGCTCAGGGAGGGAGCTCCCGCCTGAGACTTGCTCACAATTCACTCACAGACGAGGCTCCCGCCTAGTATTTCCTCCATATTCAAGCCTGAGGAGCCCAAAAGTGACGACACTTGCAGGATGCCGATGACCCGCCTCGGATTTGAACATCAAGCGCGGGCCCCCTAGGGAGGGAACTCCCGCCTGAGACTTGTTCACAATTCACTCACAGACGAAGCTCCCGCCTGATACTTCCCCCATATTCAAGCCTGAAGAGCCCAATACTGACGACTCTTACAGGATGCCGATGACCCGCCTCGGATTCGAACATGAAGCGCGGGCCCCTTAGGGAGGGGGCTCCCGCCTGAGACTTCCTCTGATTC